GGGTACACTGCTTGTATACCTGCACTGCTCCAGGGTAATACTGCATACCTAAACCGTCTAGGCACATTGCTTGTATACCTGCACCAAGCTCAGGGTACATTGTTTGCATACCTGCACTGCCCAGGCACATTGTTTGTATACCTGCACTGCCTCAAGTACATTGTTTGTATACCCACCGTCTAGTACATTGCTTGTATACCCGCACTGTTCAAGGCACATTGTATACCTTCACTGTTCTCAGGGTATACATTGTTTGCATACCTGCACTGTCTAGGGTATAATAATTGCATGTACTCCGCACTGTTCAGGGTACACCGTTTGTATACCTGCACTGCTCCAGGGTGCACACCGTATACCTAAACTGTTCAGGGCACATTGTTTGTACCCAACTGTTCAGGCACATTGGGTTTGTATCCCTGCACTGTCGAGGTAACTGTTTGGTATGGCCTGCACTGTCTAGGGGTACACTGTATACCTAAACTGTCTAGGTACATTGCTTCTGTTTACCTGCACTGTCTAGTGCTATTGTTTGTATACCTCACTGTCTAGGTACACTGTTTGTGTGGCCCAGACTGTCTAGGTACACTGTATACCTGCACTGTCTAGGCACACTGTTTGTATACCTGCAATGTCTAGGCACACACTGTATACCTGCACTGTTCAGGCAGCTGTTTGCATAATTGCACTGTTCCAGTACATTGTTTGTATACCTTCACCGTTCAGGCACATTGTTTGGTATCCCTGCACTGTCGAGGTAACTGTTTGTATACCCGCACTGTCTAGGCACACCCTGTATACCTAAACTGCTCCAGGCATTGTTTGTTTACCTGCACTGTCTAGGTATATTGGTTTGTATACCTTCACCGTTCAGGGTATTACTGTTTGTGTACCTGCACTGTCTAGGCACACTGTATGCTACCTGCACCGTTCAGGCACACTGTCGGTATACCTTTCTTCGCACTGTCTAGGCACACTGTATACCCGCACTGTTCAGGTGCACATTGTTGTATACCTGCACTGCCCAGGGTACACCGTTTGTATACCTGCACTGTCTAGGCACACTGCATACCCGCACTGCTCCAGGTACATTGTTTGTATACCTGCACTACCCAGGCACACTGTATACCTCAAACCGTTCAGGGCACATTGCTTGTATACCTGCACTGTCTAGGCACACTGTTTGTATACCTGCACCGTCTAGGTACACTGTTTGCATACCTGCACTGTCTAGGGTAATAATTGTTTGCATACCTGCACTGTCTAGGTACACTTTTGCATACCCAGCACTGTCTAGTACACCTGTATACCCACACTGTCGAGGCAGGGGCCACTGTTTGTATACCTTCACTCTCTAGGTAATATTGTTTGTATACCTGCACCGTCTAGTACACCGTTTGTAATACCTTCTCACCGTCTAGGTACATTGTTTGTATACCTGCACTGTCTAGGCACACTGTATACCTACACTGTCTAGGGCACACTGTTTGTATACCTGCAATTGTCTAGGTACACTGTATACCCACACTGTCGAGGTAATATTGTTTGTATAATTCTCTTCACTCTCTAGGCACATTGTTTGTATACCTGCATTGTCTAGGCATTGTTTGCATACTGGCACTGTCTAGGGTACATTGTTTGTATCCCTTACTGTCTAGGTATTAATTGTTTGTATACTCTGCACTGTTCAGGTACACTGTATAAATTTTCACTGTCTAGGTACACTGCTTGTATGGCCTGCACTGTTCAGGGTACACTGTATACCTACACTGTCGAGGTACATTGTTTTTGTATGGCCTTCACTCTTCTAGGTACATTGTTTGTATACCTGCACTGTCTAGGTACATTGTTGCATCCCTTTACTGTCTAGGACACTGTTTGTATACCTGCACTGTCTAGGTACATTGTTTGTATACCTGCACTGTCTAGGTACATTGTTTGTATACCCAAAATTTTCGTCTAGGTAATATTGTTTGTATACCTTCACTGTCTAGGCACACTGCTTGTATACCTGCACTGTTCAGTACATTGTTTGTATACCTGCACTGCCCAGGGTACATTGTTTCTGTATACCTGCACTGTCTAGGTAATAACACTGCTTGTATACCCACACCGTGTTCAGGGGTACATTGTTTGTGCTACCTGCACTGTCTAGGTACATTGTTTGTATACTCTGCACTGTTCAGGCAATAATTGCATACCTTTCACTGTCTAGGTACACTGTTTGTATAATTACCTGCACTGTCTAGGTACACTGTTTGTATACCCAAAATGTCTAGGTACATTGTTTGTATACCTTCACTGTTCAGGGTATGGACTGTTTGTATACTCACACTGTCTAGGTACACGTTTTGTATACCTGCACTGTCTAGGCCATTGGTTTGTATACTCACTGTCTAGGTACATTGCTTCTGTATACCTGCACTGTCTAGGCACATTGTTTGTATACCTTCAATGTCTAGGCATACCGTTTGTATACCCTGCCACTGTCTAGGCACATTGTTTGTATACCTGCACTGTCTAGGTACATTGTTTGTATAGCCTTCACTGTCTAGGTACATTGTTTGTATACCTGCAAAGTTCAGGCACATTGTTTGTATACCTGCACTGTCTAGGCACACATGCATACCTGCACTGTCTAGGTACATTGTTTGTATACCTGCACTGTCTAGGTAACACTGTTTGGTATGTACCTGCACTGTCTAGGCACATTGTTTGTATACCTCTCTCACCAAGTCTAGTACACTGTTTGGTATACCTGCACCGTCTAGGGTACACTGTTTGCATACCCACACTGTTCAGGTACATTGTTGTGGCTACCTTCACTGTCTAGGCACACTGTTTGTATACTCACACTGCTCCAGGGGTACACTGTATACCTGCACTGCCCAGGCAATAGCCTGTTTGTATACCAGCACTGCTCCTAGCACATTGTTTGTATACTCCACACTGTCTAGGCATACACTGCTTGGTATACCCACACCGTTCAGGCACATTGTTTGTATTCCCAGCACCGTCTAGGCACACTGTTTGCATACCTGCACCGTCTAGGTACACTGTTTGTATGGGCTCCACACTGTTCAGGTACATTGTTTGTATACCCACACCGGCACACTGAACACCCACACTGTCTCTGGCACACCGAATACCTACACTGTCGAGGCAGGTTACTGTTTGTATACCTGCACTGCTCAGGCACACTGCTTCTTATATACCTGCAATGTCTAGGTACATTGTTTGTATACCTGCACTGTTCAGGGTACATTGTTTGTATACCTGCACTGTCTAGGCACACTGCTTTGTATACCTGCACTGTCTAGGTACATTGTTTGTATCCCTACACTGCTCCAGGCACACTGTTTGTATACCTGCACTGTCTAGGGTACATTGTTTGTATACCTACACTGTTCAGGGGTACATTGTTTGTATACTTGCACTGTCTCGGCATTTTTGTATATACCTGCACTGTCTAGGTGCATTACTTGTATACCTTCACTGTTCAGGTACATTGTTTGTGTTTGTATACCCGCACTGTCTAGGTGCATTGTTTGTATACCTTCACTGTTCAGGGTACATTGTTTGTATACCTGCACTGTCTAGTATACTGTTTGTATACCTGCACTGTCTAGGTACATTGTTTGTATACCTGCACTGTTCGGTACGATACTGCCGCCATGTTTACCTTCCCTAAAATAAACAACTGCTACTCACGTCACAAACCAACTTATGGACTTACTGAAGATGAGTCGACCATACGCCAGGTGTGTTAGGGAGGGCGTCTTGACGATCAGGTCCAGCTGGGAGTCCTACCCCTTCACCACCGTGCCAGTCACCTTCACCTCCGGCCACAGATCTGGGAACTCCGCCTCCAGCTCCACCTGTCCAAGGGAGGGAGGGGACGGGTGATGATTAAAACAAACATGGATAGATAGAAAGATATTGATAGATATAGGTTGATAGATAGATAGATACTGATATAATTTATTTAGCAAAATCATCACACACACACACACACACACAACCTCATCGAAGCTGTTATGGACGATGACGACGACGAAGGTGTAGTCGTAGAGGATCTGCTGGAGGAGGTGGTAGGTGAAGCGGTCCTCAGCCTTCAGGTACCTCACCTTTTGCTTGATGTCCCGCTGTATCTCCGTCAGTAGCCTACATAAGTAATACTAGTAAGTCACTTTAAAATGTGGTTTTGCAGGGATGGGATAACATGCGTATCTCTCTCATTGTATCCTGGGTTCGATCCGCGGCCCAGGACACATGTGAGAAAGGTATTATCCTGTGTGACACCACCAAACATGTCAGGTTTTTCGCGGGTACAGTCAGGTTTCCTCCTGTACAGTACTGGACAATAAAGGTCATAACAAATTAACACAGAACGGCCAGTATCAACCGCCTGAACGGCCAGTACCAACCGCCTGAACGTCCAGTAAGCTGACATTCGATGAAATGATAACTGAGTTACTTGATTGTAAATTTTACTATATAATAATGCAGGATCACTATAACCAACAGCTATATTCATTTTTAATCTTTCATGAATTTGTAAGACGTTTTGGATCAGCTAAATATTAGACTGCGCCATTGATCTATAATTATCCACTAAGAATGAACAAAGCTTTACTCATCAAGGACGACCTTTTAAAATGACCCTAAATAACAATAGATAACTGTATGAAAAACACTAATTGCCTCTACTACAAAACTCAATGAAAATTAATCTAGTAACATCACCTGCATCGCTCCTCTCACAAATGAATTTACCCGGAAGAGAATTCCTAAACCCCTTAATAAAAAACACGACTACAAATATCATCTGTGACGTGTTGAAATATTTACAGTGATCAGTAAGAGAGACTTATCACCTGTAACTGTAGAACCAATTAGGGGAACCTCCGCCCTGGGAGTAGAAGGCAGCTATCTCCATCTTGCCTGACTCCTTCTTCCTGTACACCCTGATGCTGTAGCCTCTGGGGTCCTTCAGTAGCGAACTGTTGAGGGTGACCGACACCTCCTCCCCAGCGTCCACAGCCCTGAGGGAGTAATAACACCATGACGATACTCCTGGTTGATACAACATGTAAAAAAACTGTAGTTTATTGAGTGTTGCAGACAGACTATAACAGTGAATTAATATAAGGATATTATTAAAATGGAATAAATGTTGAGTGAGTGCCAAAACTAATGAGAGGATGACCCAGTGGGGCCATCAAGTTAAGAAGAGATAATATAAGTTGCTTTTTCTGACACATCATTACACTGGGAAGACAACTTTATCTACTGTAGCCTAGTAAGGAGACCGATATAAAAGACTCAGTAAGACTCACGTGAAGGCTCCGGTGACCTGGAGAGAGAAGCCGTCTAGCACTATTACCCCGAGGAAGCCGTAGGTGTCCCCCGCCCTGTCGTAGCTGCACCTGAGTGACCCCGACGCCCCTGGACGAACCAGCGCCCCCGTCACTAGATACTGATCCTGCACCAACACCACCACCACCTGTTATTCTTTGTATTCTAAAGCTACTAAACTACAGTGGTGCATCTTAAGTTCATGAGATCCCCCAGATATAAACAAATTAAATTTACACACACACACACACACACACACACACACACACACACACACACACACACACACACACACACACACACACACACACACACACACACACACACACACACACACACACACACACACACACACACACACACACACACACACACACACACACACACACACACACACACACACACACACACACACACACACACACACACACACACACACACACACACACACACACACACTACCTGCTCTGAGCGACAGTCGACGTTGAGGACATAATGATGGTGGGTGTTGATACTGACTCGGCCAACCAACACCAGCGACACAGGAGGGTACGGCGCCTGTAGGAGGAGACAAGAGTTAGTGAAACATATTGATAAACAAAAAATAGATAAACATGGACGAGATACATAACACAAAATTTACTTAAAATCCCTCGGGGTCTGAAAGTTGTGAAGAAACGATAAACATTTACTTAAAGACCTAACTAAAACTAACCTTTTATATTAGGTTCTGGTATTAAACCGCACCAAAAGTATCCTCAGTACAATTGCATATGGTGAACCTGTCTCATATTTATCATAACTTGTTTAGATACGGTGAGCCTTGTGATAATAACTAAATCTCGTGTACAGAATGGTAAACTAAACCTGCTGGGAAGTAATATCGAAGGCAAACACACACGAAGCTAATCCGTATGAGGTTGGGATGGTAGTCACTAGTACCAGTCGTCTAACTAACCAAACACCCACCAGAGCAGTGTCTTACTCACTCTCAAGTACACACACACCTACACATGAGGAAGTATGACAGAAGTGAGGAAGCGGTTAAAATCTCTCTCTCTCTCTCTCTCTCTCTCTCTCTCTCTCTCACTGTTTTCCTCTTTATATCCATATATCTACTATCTATATCGATTTATCTATATATAATAGTAATCCAGTCGTCTCTTTTATCTATCTATTCAATGTCTCTCTATGTAACTATCTCCCTATTCTTCTCTACCCTCTCACCACCAGCCAACTCACCTGAGAGATAGTGAAGGTCATGGTAGAGTCGATGTGGTGTAGAGTGGCACCGGGGTTGTGGTAGTTGAGCGCCACCTCCAGAGCTCTGCCTCCCTCCCTCCACTGGACACCCGCCACGCCCTTGATCAACGCCCACGCCACATGTCCCTGCACTGTGCCGTCCGACCACTGTGGTCAAGTACCCGCCAAGATAAAGTATGGTATACATAAATTTTTTGATAACCTATATTGTATACATAAACCTTATAATAACCTATATTGTATACATAAACCTTATAATAACCTATATTGTATACATAAACCTTATAATAACCTATATTGTATACAAAGACTTTATGACACAATAAAGTTGGTGACTGACCTTGAGGAAGATGTTGCCTCCAGGGAGTGTGGTGAGGTAGGTGGCGAGGGCGAGGTTGAAGGCTGAGGTGGCCGGCGTCCACTGTACCAGAGCCCTCACCTGCCCCGCCTCCTCCACCAGCCCCACACTCACCTTACTGCTCAAAGATGTCTGCCACACACACACACACACACACACACACACACACACACACCATGAAGTGTTATTATTGTTGTTGTTATTGATGTAATTATCATAAATTGTCTCGTTATCACTATTGTTAGGACACTATTATTATTATTATTATTATTATCATTATTATTATCATTATTATTATTACTACTGCTATTACCTGTCTCATTGTTATCATCATTATTATTGTTGCTTCTATCAGTATTAGAATTATGATGCTTAATGCTAGATTGTGTAAAAGCTGTCAATTGGATACAACACTCGCCTACTGGTTAGCGCCCTGTGAGGTATACCTAACTTTACAACTGAGGTAGTGAAGGTGGTCAAGTGTAGTGACGACTTATGCAAGAGATCATCCTACCTGGAAGTTGTCTGGGAAGGTGCCGATGTGGTCTGTGTCGAGGGCCAGCTTAAGTCTGGCCCAGGGGAAGGAGGGGTCCACCAGGGTCAGCAAATGAGAGCTCTTGAGGGAGTCATTCCTGGCCACGCCGTACGACTCCACGCCCACCGCCCTCTGCCCCGACCACATGCGACCGTTGAGGGAGTAAGTGTCCACCGACCTCGTCAGTATCCCGTGCACCCGACCCAACTCAGGTACTGTCTCAGTTATCAGTCGGATCTGTAACATAACATATAGTAAAGATATTGTTACCTCCATAACACTCTACTTTACTGTTCTATACTCTTATTTTTTCGCCTCCCAGGCCCCGTTGTGGGTCGATGAGGGTGTGTCCGGGTGGGCTCTACCCCGTAAAAAAAAAAAAAATATGCAAGGCGCAATCGTGAAAAACGTATTTTATAGTCAGGAGACACACTAAGCTATAACCAAGGACTATCCGATACAGATATAGTTGATATTCCTCGGCTACAACGCAGTCAGCTATAAGTAACACAAGCGGGTACTAACATCAGTAGTTGTCACGTCGCTGGTGTAAGAGGTAACTTGGTGGTCTCCTTCAGGGGGCGGCTGGAGGGTCCTTTTGACCTTGATGTTAAGCTTCACCTCACCAGTAGGAGGCGTGTTGGTCCTCAGTAAGGTCTCCAGGTTAAGTAACAAACAACCTCCTCCTCCATCAACACCGCCTCCCGCACCACCACTTCTGTTATGGACGGAGGTGTTATACTATTACAGACATCTTCCCGGGCACAGTTCTTTTGTTGCTGATCGTCCTACTTATTGACGTACAGTTAATATAAATGTGTGAGTTAAGTAAACTTGTCTTGTCCTTAAGGATATTGTCAACTTATCTTTTACCATGACACAGTTCCAGCCCGAGCAGCCCACAGCACCTGGGGTTCCCTCTGCTCTCTGCTTAGGTCATGTTTAAGGAAAGTGTCAGACGAACTCTCGCCCACCTTCTGTTAAGGTTCCCAGTTAGTAGTAATGTGTGCTGAGGTCATTATGGTGACAAACACTGACCTGTAATCACTGGAGAGAGGTTGCTGGAGGTCGAAGTCCCAGGACAGGAGGTAAGAGGCGTCGGGTCCTGCTCCGGCTGATAATGTGAGGGCGGCCACCACAGACTCGGTGCCGGACACCTGGGAGCTGACGTCTCCGCTGGCCGTGTAGTACATCCCGGTGGGCGTCATGAGGGTCGCCTGAACCACAACACGGGAGATGAGACACACCTAAACTTGTTCCTCCCTCGTGTCATATACACAGACAACAGGTAGCCACTTCTGTAGTGACGGTGTCTGGCTGGCTGAGTCATTAAGCAGTGAGAACCGAGTGGCAATAAAATAAACATGGTGCACAAGGTAAAATTATTCTGTGATGTAAAAAAAGAAACTATTTTGGGGCATACCTTTTGCCTATGCATATGACAACAGGTGACCAGGTTAGGCAGCACCAAACACTGCCACTGTTTATTTCACTAACTTTTCTTCAGTGACCAAGAGACCTAATACATATATTTAACAATAACGTAAATTAGAATATTTTATTTATAATGTCAGAACTAAGAAACTTTATCGTTTACTTAGAATTCTTTCATCTGTTTTGAATTTGTAACAACAGGAACGTTGATGCGTAATAACTTAAAGACTCCCCTAAGTGAATGATAAATGTTAACACCTGATATATAAGACACACACACACACTTCACTAACTACGATGACGAGACTGTTGAGTTAGTGTAGTTACCTTAACGAAGTGTCTGTTGTTGATGACCGTGTGTCCAGCACGGCCCTGCACCACTCCTGCCCACAGTTGGTGCCTCCCTCCTGCTCACTACCACCTCCTGCCTACCAGATACCACCCAGGTATTAGTGCTGCTACCACACACACACACACTCTTTCATGACAATTTATTCTGGTGTACGTATGTTTAAAAGTGGTGCAGAAAACGAGTTATTTCATGGCAAATAATTCAATATTAAAAAATAAAAAATATTATCATCCAAACCTTTATCACCACCACGATACTTAAACTACCACCAACCACCACCATCCACCACCACCTCACCCACACACCGACCTGACATGAAGCGTCCTAGCTTGGTAGTTGAGTGTGAGGGTACCGTTGTAGGCGTGAGTGAGAGGCCCTTGCAAGCCCTCCTCCAGTAGCTCCTTCACCAGCACCTCCGCCGCCGCCACGTCAGTTGAGGCTACATCCACCTCGACACGGCCCTCAACCAGACGACCCCACCGCCACACAGCCGCCCTGCCCTTGACGTTGTAGTAGCCGATCATGTGGGCCGCGTCCACTGATACTGACCCATCCACCCAGTGCTGTAGAGACAACGTGTGGTATTACTACAGTGACCCATCCACCCAGTGCTGTAGAGACAACGTGTGGTATTACTACAGTGACCCATCCACCCAGTGCTGTAGAGACAACGTGTGGTATTACTACAGTGACCCATCCACCCAGTGCTGTAGAGACAACGTGTGGTATTACTACAGTGACCCATCCACCCAGTGCTGTAGAGACAACGTGTGTATTACTACAGTGACCCATCCACCCAGTGCTGTAGAGACAACGTGTGGTATTACTACAGTGACCCATCCACCCAGTGCTGTAGACAACGTGGTGTACTTACAGTGACCCATCCACCAGTGCTGTAGAGACAACGTGTGGTATTACTACAGTGACCCATCCACCCAGTGCTGTAGAGACAACGTGTGGTATTACTACAGTGACCCATCCACCCAGTGCTGTAGAGACAACGTGTGTATTACTACAGTGACCCATCCACCCAGTGCTGTAGAGACAACGTGTGGTATTACACAGTGACCCATCCACCCAGTGCTGTAGAGACAACGTGTGGTATTACTACAGTGAGCCCATCCACCCAGTGCTGTAGAGACAACGTGTGGTATTACTACAGGACCCATCCACCCAGTGCTGTAGAGACAACGTGTGGTATTACTACAGTGACCCATCCACCCAGTGCTGTAGAGACAACGTGGTATTACTACAGTGACCCATCCACCCAGTGCTGTAGAGACAACGTGTATTATTACAGTGACCCATCCACCCAGTGCTGTAGAGACAACGTGTGGTATTACTACAGTGACCCATCCACCCAGTGCTGTAGAGACAACGTGTGGTATTACTACAGTGACCCATCCACCCAGTGCTGTAGAGACAACGTGTGGTATTACTACAGTGACCCATCCACCCAGTGCTGTAGAGACAACGTGTGGTATTACTACAGTGACCCATCCACCCATTGCCGTAGTAACAACAAAAGTGGTACTCACAGTGACGACGATGTTGGCCTCGGTCCGAGAGACGCCGCCTGCAGCAGTGTGTTGGAGGTGTAGGTCAAGGAGCTCGTCCCCGCCCTGCTCCGCCGTCACCACCACCGAGCACTGACCCTTCCCGACACAGTTGAACGTCCCCACCACACTGTAAAGTTATCAGACGGACGTTGATGTTTACACGTGTACTTATATAATGTTATCGCCGCCCTCGTACGCCGCGACCTCTGACTCACATACCAGGTGGTCGGTGGTGGCCCAGATGTTCGGGGACGCACAGCAAGCATTTCGTTGTTATGATCATAGATAAGGACTCGGGACGCCCCTGGCTGACAGTATCGTCCAGACCCTTTGAGTGTACACACACTAGCTACCAGGAGTTACATGGAGTGATACTAGGAGTTAAGTGGAGCTATAAGCCTGCACACGTTAGTGAAAGGACACAGTGATTGTTTGTGTTATGGTGAAATGTTGTGAACTACATACTGTACGTGCACAGTGTAAGGCAATTTGGATAATAACCATACAGAATCGTGTATTTACTAACTGTCGTATAATGTATACATGTAATGGAATGTAATCAGTAGTTAACGAGTGTCTCACTATTACAGGTTTTGACCATGTCAATCAATAAACGTTGAGTGAGTCCACGTTGCGGGTTTCTCTCACCCTTAAGACGTGTCGTTATCTAACTGTCGAACATTCAGCAGTTAAATATACAAAGTTTGGAGAACACTCTCTCTCTCTCTCTCTCTCTCTCTCTCTCACCTGACGGGGCTGACCCAGGTGAGAAGCTTGAAGGTGTTGGAGAGGCCGTAAGAGAAGATCTCGTTGTCTGACCTCGTGATGATGATGGTGTCCATGTTGAAGGTGTTGCCGGGCTCCAGCCGTACCATCAGCTTGTTCTTGTAGCTCCCCCCCAGCGCCTTCGCCAGCGTCTCCTGCACCTCCACCACCTGACCTGGCCACATCACCTGCATCACAAGTTTCATATTAACCACCCAGAATCACACCATCTGTACCACAAGTGTTATAACATTAAAGGAAGGAAAACGTGTGTGTGTGTGTGTGTGTGACTGTGTGTGTGTGTGACTGTGTGCGTGTGTGTGTGTGTGTGTGTGTGTGTGTGTGTGCGTGTGTCTGTGTGTGTGTGTGTTATAACCTGAGAAAAATCTCTGGAGGATGAAGGAGAGATTGAGAGAGAAGAAAGATAAAGAGAGATAGAGAGAGGACAGACATACAGAGAGGAGGGAGAGGATAGAGGGAGGAGGGAGGAGGGAGGGGAGGAGAGAAGGAGGGGGGAGGAGAGAAGGAGGGGGGGAGATAGGAGGGGAGGAGGGGAGGGGAGGAGAGAAGAGGGGGGAGGGGAGGGAGGGAGGGGAGAGAAGGAGGGGGGGAGATAGAGGGAGGAGGGAGGGAGGAGAGAAGGAGGGGTGGAGGATAGACGGAGGAGGGAGGGAGGAGAGAAAAGAGGGGGGGAGATAGAGGGAGGAGAGAAGGAGGGGGGAGGACAGGAGGAGGAGAGAAGGAGAGGGGGGAGGGAGGAGGAGGGGAGGGAGGAGAGAAGGAGGGGGGGAGATAGAGGGAGGAGGGAGGGAGGAGAGAAGGAGGGGTGGAGGATAGACGGGAGGAGAGAGGAGGAGAGAAGGGGAGGGGGGAGATAGAGGAGGAGGGGAGGGAGGAGAAGGAGGGGAGGATAGGACGGAGGAGGGAGGGGAGGAGAAGGAGGGGGGAGGATAGAGGGAGGAGGGAGAGGGGGATAGGAGGAGGGAGGGAGGAGAGAAGGAGAGGGGAGGATAGAGGGGAGGAGGGGAGGGAGGAGAGAAGGAGGGGGGAGGATAGACGGAGGAGGGAGGGAGGAGAGAAGGAGGGGGGAGGATAGAGGGAGGAGGGAGGGAGGGATAAAGAGATAGAGACAGAGAGACACAAGGGAGATACACCCACCAGAACCCTGAGTAACACGTCGAGGTGAGTGTAGGAGTGGCTGGCGACCTGGACGAGGGAGGAGACCTTGTCGAGGGGGTTGTTAGACCACGAGACGTTCAGCCAGTGTCGTAGCTGATCCTCCCTCACTAAGAGCTCGTGCTCACAGCCCCACCACACATCCAGCGGCTCGTACGCCACTGTAATACAAGGCACAGGTTAACATCACTCGTACAGCACTGGACACAAGTTAACATCACTCGTACAGCACTGAAGACACAAGTTAACTTCACTAATACATCACTGAAGACACAAGTTAACATCACTCTCACATCTTGGACACAAGTTAACATCACTGTACAGCACTGGACACAAGTTAACATCACTGCATAGCACTGGACACAAGTTAACATCACCTGTACAGCACTGACACAAGTTAACATCACTGCATAGCACTGACATGCTAACATCACTGTACATCATTGGACACGTTAACATCACTGTACAGCACTGGACACAGTTAATATCACTTGTACATCTTGGACAATAAGTTAACATCACTCTGTACAGCACTGGACACAAGTTATCACTAATACATCACTGAAGACACAAGTTAACATCACTGCTGTACATCATTGGACACAAGCACATCACTGTACAGCACTGGCACAAGCATTATCACTCGTACATCTTGGACACGTTAACATCACTGTACAGCACTGGACACAAGTTAACATCACTCGTACATCATTGACACAAGTTAACATCACTCTGTACAGCACTGACACAGGTTAACATCACTCGTACATCATTGGACACAAGTTAACATCACTCGTACAGCACTGGACACAAGTTAACATCACTCGTACAGCACTGGACACAAGTTAATATCACTCGTACATCTTGGACACAAGTTAACATCACTCGTACAGCACTGGACACAAGTTAACAACACTCGTACAGCACTGGACACAAGTCAACATCACTCGTACATCACTGGACACAAGTTAACATCACTCGTACAGCACTGGACACAAGTTAACATCACTCGTACAGCACTGAAGACACAAGTTAACTTCACTAATACATCACTGAAGACACAAGTTAACATCACTAGTACAATACTGTAATACATCAAACTTCAATTACAATTAGTTAATATGTTAACTGTTAAGAATGAGTTGCAGAGATGAAGTGGAGGAGGTGTGTTAAGATCTACAGTAAGTGGTGAAGATAATGCTAAACTTACCTCTGGCAGACGTCTTGATATCCCCGGGACCACTGTAGGTGTGCGAGAAACTGAACCCTCCTTTCTCGGCAAGAACAAAGTTGAGGTCCACATCTACCTAGGGAGAAAGATTTCCCTAAAAAATACAATGTAGTATTTATCTTATCTTCAGAGCAGGACAAAAACACATTGCAGGAGGTCCTCACGGTGTTAATAAACTACTATACACTATTTAATCAAACGGTAAATGGTTACATGTTCTTGATGCGTTGGTCAAGGGTGCTGATGTTCAAACTCGTGTGAATACGGTTAGTTGAAGCCCCAAGTATTAGTTTAAGGACACCACCACAAGACTTAAAGGCGATATAAAAGTGTAAACTAATAAGATAAATAACAAGATATAAACTCAACTCACTCGACCAGCGTCCAGGATGAGGGCGACACTACCCTCCGTCACCCCGGGCTGCTCCCTGTGTCGGCCACTGATAGAGAACTTGAAGGAGGTTCCTCTAGTCCCCTCTAGTTGCTGCTGTTGTTGCTGGTCTATCAGGAAGGTCACCACAGGACCCACCGCCATACTCACTTCAATCTCCCCGTCATCCTCACCCCATCCAACCTGAAATTTTATGTATGGTAATGTGTGATATAACTACATGCTTGATTATCTATTTTATACGATAAAGATTATATGACATAATTTATCTTAGAGCTGAGTAAGAAAGAGGCCGTGAGTCACTGTGTACTAGCTGACGTGACCTAACGTGTACCGTAGTGAAGGTGAATAAAACAATAACAGTAACGGGTGAAAATAATCTAGGACGGTATTTAAATTGAATGAAAGACTGAGTGACGATGAAGTGTTTAAATTTGATTTATCCTCACATCATATATCTACCTCTGTTCCTGTCGTTCATGAATCAATAGAGTGTACCTTTATTATCATCATCATTAGTACTATTATTATTATTATTATCATCAGTTTACCATTATTATTACAGTATATACAATATACTACAACTGGCGTCGTAACAGAGTCAGTACATCACCTTGCAGCACTCATAACACAATACCTTGAGTAAGCCGTGCCCGTGGGGTGATAGTGTCAGGAAGAGCCGCCCGCTGGTGTCCACACGGAAGGTGCCAGGCCAGGCGACCGTCAGCGACCTCACCTCTACCATCATGAGTGACCCGTCCTCGAGGCTGATGGTTACCCCCACCTCGCCTGTCCTCATCATACACACACAGACATATATTAACGATCTTCCCACCTATACACCATTCTCTTTATAAATTACAGGTACAGTACAGGGTGTCTCATAAATATGAATACACACTGCGTGACGATCATGTGAATGTTTGTAATACAACAGCAACATTGTCCTCACCTATTGATGTACATTATCTAGCTTAAGAATTAGACAAGTTATTGGCGTTGCCAATGTTCACTTTTTAGTTTTCTGGCTTGTTAAACTATTTCAGTATCAACCTAAGGCAATAAGATACAACAGAGGGCCACGTACTTGCAATCCTTAAATTGATGTAGTCAGTCACTGGTCCCATCGTACTTAAACTCAACTCAGCAGAGAACACGTCCTCTTGCTCCTCCTTCCACGATATAAACCCCCGCATCACCTCCTTCTCGCCTCCTTCTGGGGTGGTGATGAAGGCAGAGGGACTCCATACTCTCTGACGCTCCAAATGTGGTGTGGATAACTGGAGACGGACGCCATAGCGGGATCGATCAAGACCCACCTCCAGTCCCGCCATCTGGGTAATTCTCTCCCGGGACCCAGCAAACCCTGTGAGGTACACGTAACACCCGGATATTACTACTTATATTATCTTCTCTTTTTGTTATACTAAATTTCCTCATTGATATGTTTTTGGTAAGGTAAGGTAAGGTATGGTATGGTAAGGTAAGGTAAGGTATGGTATGGTATGGTATGGTATGGTATGGTATGGTATGGTATGGTATGGTATGGTATGGTAAGGTAAGGTAAGGTAAGGTAAGGTAAAGCTAAGCTAGGTTATATTTGGTTAGGTTAGATAGGTTAGGTTAGGTTAGGCTATGTTACATTAGGTCAGATTAAATTATGTTACATTTTATTTATAGAGTTACATACATAAGATTGTTTGTATTTCTGTTCTAAACACTAATACTGTTGCTGTTATGTAATAATAATGATACCACTATAGAAATAACGACGATAATAATACTATCACAACTCACATGACTATCACTACTACTACTATTACTGTCATTAATTCTACCACTTAATGCTTTTTATAAATATTACTACTATTTTCCTACTCTTACAACCTTCATTCACTATCCCTCGTATACTATCACAACACCATTTACAATATCCTTAAGTCACATACAGTACAGATTTGACTCGACCTGTTAAGAAAGTTACTAATATTAAGAGCGGTGTTATTAATCAGTAACAGGGGTTCTTGTTCACTAATAGAGTTTTACCTTTGAAGTAGTACGAGTGATGGAGGGAGTTGAAGGTGAAGATGACGGAGAGGGAAGGCAGCTGTTGTATGACCAGGCTGGCGTCGAACCTATCACCGCCCGCCTCCACCATTATCTGTGTTACCTGAGCTTCGCCGCCCACTGTAAATCAACCAATTTTTTAAACACTACATCAAGATTATGACTTATAATAAAAGACAATTCACTGAACTACTCACTAAAACTAAAATGACTTGTTTCCCGGACTATGGTAAGTACACTACTACTGGACATTTTACCTTATTTACCTAATGGCCACCAAACAGAGATGCCTGTCTTTCTGGAGGTAGGGTTTCCATGCTTTAATACAGTAATCCAGACCTGGACGTAGTTAAGATTCTTACAGTTGAATGAACATTTTCCTATTTTTATATTGAAAGGTACGCTTTAAAATTCCCAAATCTCGATTTGCTGCCCCCACTTGTTGCGTCGCCTTTGGTGAATGATCTATCACAACACATCTTTCTCCTCACCGACAGTATCCAGGAAAGTGTTATTAATAGAATAGATGTTCTTAGGGTTGTTGTATTCTACGTATAAGGTCTTGCATTTCATAATTTTAAAGAGCATTTGTCAGTCTCCAGACCACTAAACAGCTCATTCAGGTCTTCCTGCATTGTTGCGAAATCATCTTGACTTGTTACCTGCCCAAATATCTTCGTGTAGTCCGAAAACTTGACAATATGACTCAATATATTTTCATCTATGTCGTTTATGTAGATCACAAGATCACAAACAAGGTGGGTCCAAGGATAGAGCCATGTGGTACTCCACTGAGAATCATTTTCCATTCAGAATGTACAGTCGGGGTCAAAAATCCTGTCGCCTCTCCTGCTGCTCCACGAACAACAACGCCTCTCCTGCTGCTCCACGAACAACAACGCCTCTCCTGCTGCTCCACGAACAACAACGCCTCTCCTGCTGCTCCACGAACAACAACGCCTCTCCTGCTGCTCCACGAACAACAACGCCTCTCCTGCTGCTCTACGAACAACAGCACCTCTCCTGCTGCTCCACGAACAACAACGCCTCCTGCTGCTCCACGAACAACAACGCCTCTCCTGCTGCTCCACGAACAACAACGCCTCTCCTGCTGCTCCACGAACAACAACGCCTCTCCTGCTGCTCCACGAACAACAACAACGCCTCCTGCTGCTCCACGAACAACAACGCCTCTCCTGCTGCTCTGCAACGCAACAACGCCTCTCCTGCTGCTCCACGAACAACAACGCCTCTTCTGCTGCTCCACGAACAACAACGCTTCTTCTGCTGCTCCACGAACAACAACGCCTCTCCTGCTGCTCCGTGAACAACAACGCCTCTCCTGCTGCTCCACGAACAACAACGCTTCTTCTGCTGCTCCACGAACAACAACACCTCTCCTGCTGCTCCGTGAACAACAAGATTCAGACTGTGAACCCAAACACTGATGCATTATTCTGTCCACGGCGGCTTCGGGTTCACTAGTCTGAATCTGGGGTTGGTGGAGCAGTAGGAGTGTTGACAGGACTTTTGACCCCGACTGTACTTCATTTATTATTAGTCTTTGTCACCTGTCTTCAAGCAAGTTGTTAATCCACGTCAAGATCTTGCCTGTGATGCTGTGTGCCTGGATTTTAGAGGCTCGTCGTGTACGTGGGACTTTGTCAAACAACTTGGAGAGATCCAAGTACAGCACATCCATTAGTAAGCTTTGGTCCAGGTAGTATGTTACTGTTTCAAGGAACGTGAGTAAGTTGTCAGACAGAATTTTCTTTCCATGAAACTGTGTTGTGATGCGTTGATAAGACTATGTTCGGTCAGGTGTTCGCTGATGGTGTACTTCAGAATTTTCTCAAAGCGCTTGCATAAATGTGATGTCAAGCTGTTCGGCCTATATTTTCAGCTGCACTTTTCGTACCTTCTTGTATACTGGGGTGACGTTGGATAATTTCCAGTCCCTCGGTGTTTTACCATGACTCAAGGATTTCCTGAATAAGAGTCTTAGTGGAGTGAAAATCTCGTTTGCCACCTCCTTTATCACCTTGGTTTGTGCTCTGTACATTCCAGGGTCTTTCAATTCTTTTAAGCTTTCCTTTTAATGATATCGTCTGTGCTTGCTATCTCTCTTAGGTACTGGCATGTTATCCATTGTGTCTTGTGTGAATACTGATGCCAAGTATGCATCTAAGGCATTTGTCATTCTCTAGGGCCACGTTATTTTCATCCTTTAACAGGTCGACGGTACCTTTAGTTTTCAATTTGCTCCTAACATACACATAAGAGGACTTGGGATCTTTCTGAATATTTTAGGATAATTTCATCTCGAAATGCCATTTGGTTGATCTAATTTCCTGATTGGTCACATTTAGGGCTCCTGTATACTACATAATCTGCATGTTGCCCTGTGCTCTGGTATTTCTCCCAGTGTTTATTTTCCGGCTTCCCTAGATCTGTGATTCATCCACCTGGTATTATTCTCTCTTCTCTTTGTTTTCCGGGGTATACATTCGTCTACTGTTAATTATTAAAATTTCCTCTCAGTTAATTCTCTGTAGTTTGTTTCTCATGAGCTGGTAATCTCCATGGTTGAAGTCATAGTGCTCTTTAACTACCGTCTCTCACTTATCAAAGACAGTATTTCATCTTAGTATGTAGCGGTCGCTGGTCGGAGTTAGTTTCTCCCTACGTGGACCTCGTCCACCAAAGCCTCCTCAGTTGGCAAGACTAAATCTAGAAAGTTGTCTCCCCTCGTGAGTTGTGACTACCTCCGAAACAGAAAAGCACAGCTGCAAATTAGTACGTATTTAGGCCCAACCATAGACCTCGAAAGTGGAGTGCCCCAGGGTGCCGCCCTGTACCCAACATTATTCACCATATATACAAGCAACCTACCAGAACCAACACAACTAAGCGAACATATCATCTACGCAGACGAGACGACATCACACAAATCATATCATACCTTGGGAAGTCAGAGGCAATGATGGCACGCTATACAGCGCATGCAATAAAGAACATAAATGATAATACGAGAAGATGGAAGATTAAAACAAATATTAAAAAATTTAAAATAATACCAATTGCTAAACAAAAGGTCGAATCAGTCATTGTGGATGAAGAAAAATAACCATACGTTATTACGTTAATGAAGGTACCATATTAAGACTCAAGATCTCAAAAACCGGATACCAAAGCTTCGTTAATGAAAAAGACAGCAAACTGCGCAGCAAAATTAAAAAAAAAAAAAAAAAACTAGGAGATTCCAAAACCTAAATACACAAAACAAACTAAAACTGTATTCAGTACTAATAAAATCAATAATAAGCTCCCTGCCTGTACCAATCAACGCATTCAGTGACACAAGAATACAGAAACTACAAACAATACAAACTAAATGTCTACGACTTATATATAACATCAGATATGAACAAAGGATAACAAACGAAGAACTGCACAGGAGAGCTAACATCGAGGCAGTAATGTAGACATATACAACAAAGCTAAAAGAACGTGGGGCAAGTAGAAGAGTTAGAAGCTGTAACTCACTGGCTCGGTAATGAAATAGAAAGAGTGAGAGATCATTCATGGTTCAGATCCAGCAGAACAAGACGAAACAACTCAGCACCAATACCAAGATATAAATAACCACCTCAAAGCAATACAAAAAAAAATCGCATAGAATGAATAGCCGATTAAAACACTGCCAACACAAACGTCAACCTTTTCAATTAAAATAAAAAGATAGGACCACCTCCTTGCGAACCAAAGTAGCAAGTTGGATCCTAAACTACTTCCTTGAAAAAAAGTTTCCTATTTTAAACAAAAGCTTCAATTCCTTAAAAGAGAGAAGAAAAGAAAAAGTGACCAATGGACACTTTCCTTGGCCTCTCCAGCCCCTTCCTGCTGCTTTTCCTCCCACCTTTAAAGCAAAACATACGATGCTCAGCCAGCTCCATAAAGAACCTGTCCAGAAGTAGTCACATCTTCCTTGAAATACTGGCTACTGCAATGACAAAACATGAACGAGAATAAAGCCCAGGCCTGAGAGCTAGAACTTAAATTACTAGTACAAAAGATCAACAAAGAATTTTTAAATACAACATACTCGTATCGGGTTGAGCCCGGATACCTTTACTCTCCTACTTTCCTTCAAACATTCCCCTCATTTAGCTTCTCTTAAAACCCATCCCCTCCCCCCTAAATACCCCCAAAGTACTTCCAACCCATAACCCCCCTCTCCTACCCAGCAACAAGCAATAGCCCTTCATCCTTATCTACAGGCATCAAGTCAAGTCGTCTCGTGGGTTCCGACACGTGTTGTGTGAAGATATAAGCATCTAATGGCTTTGTTGGCTATCCTTAGTCGAATCGATTTGGTGTTTACCATTGTTTGTACACCTGTACTATCAAAGGACAGTACGTTATTCGTGTGCCTGTACTTTCTATGTACCACCCTCAGTGTCAACACCTGACTGAATTATTCAGAATAGGCAAACTGTACTACAAGCTTTGCCAATAAATTTGTTAAACTAAACTAAAACTACATTATTTCAATTATTTGTAAGCCAGTATTGTCCATGTATATTGTCTATATACCGAGATTGTCCATTAGGGGGCAGTGAAATTTTGCTCAAAGCTGCACTCTTCAGGCATTGTTCCTTATACATATCTAAGACTCCATGCCAAATTTGAAGCTGATATGTCGAGGTTTAGTCTGCCGCATTTTCTACTGAAATTTTTAAATTTACCTACAGTACTAGCCAAACAGCCGCTGTGGCGGTGCAATGTTCTGTTCAGTGTTTATCAACTTTTTTTTCATATCTCTTATAGTTAAGGAGTGTGACGGATATCACCTGGCATGTAATTGTGTTATAAAAGTTCCCAAACGTGAGGTGCAGTTTCTCCTTGACCAGCGAGGTGATAGGAAGATGAAGATTGCAGGGGTTGACATGAAAGTGACGAAGATGTGGGACAGAGTGACGGCAAGAGAGAAGCATGATGCGGACAGAGTTAGGAGACAGCTTGAGCAAAAACATAGATATCTGGTAGCTGGAGATATTCCTTATGTTGAGGATAATTCAGATGATTCAAGAGATATTCCTCTCGTCAATACTGATGCT